GCAACAAAACTTAAAATCTTTGTTGTTATGGAAATACGACAGTCTGTGGTCAGAACACAATGGGTATTTTTCAAGGCAAAGAGGTAAAAATACTGTTTGTGTGCTTGACATATATGTATGAGGTCCTGTGTTCATCTCTAGCACTGAGGAAAAAACGCTGATTGTACAGCTCTCCACGTAAGTTTATGCTAGCATATATTGGGTTTTGGGGAAAGCTGGTTTTACACTTGGAAATACGACTGCCTGTGAGTTACTAGAAGGCTTACAAGGGTTTTATGTCAGCGGTTCCTACCAAGAGGTCCAAAATGATTTAATGTGTCTGAGAAATACTAGTCATTGTAGCCTACTTCAAACTGCCTGAGGATGACCTTGAGCTCCTTCCTGATCCTTCTGCTTCGACCTCCCAAGTGCAGAGATTACAGGTGTGTGCCACCATGCCCAACTTGGATTATTTTTTTAAAAAAATTTTTATTCTCTACGTGTGAATGCAGATGATAATGTGTGTCATGTTGTGTAAGTGAATATGAAAGGACAACTTTCATGATTTGGCTTTTTTTCCTTTTTTTTTTTTTTTTTTTTTTTTTTTTTGGTTTTTCGAGACAGGGTTTCTCTGTGTAGCTTTGCGCCTTTTCCTGGAACTCACTTGGTAGCCCAGGCTGGCCTCGAACTCACAGAGATCCACCTGGCTCTCCCTCCCGAGTGCTGGGATTAAAGGCGTGCGCCACCACCGCCCGGCACATGATTTGGCTTTTTACCTTGTTGACACAGGGTCTCTGCTCTGCTATGGCTAGCTGGCCCTTGAGCATCTGGGCATTCTCCTGTCCCCATCTTTCATCTCTGTAGGTAGTTTTATAGATTAATCCTAGATCTGGTTTTTATATGGTTCCTAAGGTCAAACTCAAGTCTTCAGGATTATGGGACCAGTACTTTTAAAAACTCTTGAGCCATTTCTCCATCTGTATATTTAATATATTTTATGCTTTACATGTGGTCAGTGAGGTTTTTTTTTTCCTTAGTTGAAAAATCAGTAAATTAATTTAGCACTTAGTAGCATCTTTCTGTGCTTTTTGTTTTTGTTTTTGTTTTTTGTTTTTGTTTCTGACCCAGGCTAGCCTGGAACCTCAGCCTTTGAGGAAGATGACCCAGATTGTAGGCATGAGCCACCACCATTCCTGCCTGTTTGTCCTTTTAAACTTCCCTTTTTATAGGGAAAACCTTTTTTATTATTTTATTACCCATTTTCTTTGGTTTCTAAGCTAGCCTAGGCTACATGAGACCGTAACTCAAAAACAAAACAAGAAATAGATCTATGATTCGATAATCTTCCAACAGTGTACCTACTTAATAGAAAACAAACATTACAGTGACATCTCACTCAGAAGGTAAGTTCCTGACCCATTATCTAGAAATAATGAATGTTGGAGGTTTAATAAACCAAATGAGTCCTTTGTACGTGAGAGTTGGCTTGTCAGCTTTGGACCAGGACTCAGGCAGAGGAAAGACATCTACAAGATATCTACTCATCCCAGATAAGGAAGCCACTACTGGGCAAAGTTTGTGAACCTTTTTAAAGTATAAGTTGGGGGTTACTTAGGAATAGGGATGACTCAAATGCAACCCACCCCAGCTTGGATAATGACTCCATGAAGGATTTGCAACCTGGAGTCCCTGCATGACTTTTGCAGGTTGGTAGAGAATGGCTGGTGAATCTACCTAGCAGTTGTTCACCTGTCTATAACCCTGGGGAGGGCCCTGCAAAGTTTCAGCTTTTCCATTCATGTGTAGTTAGTTTTCTCTCCTGAGCCTGTACCTCCTTGCAGGGAGTGTTTCAATTCTAAGGGTATTGTTATGCAACTCTTGATAGTCCTGGTATGAAACTCAGATCCTTACTAGGCCTTGTTACAGTTATGGTCAGGTAACAGCTTGAGATCATATTTCCCTTATACCATTTGGTCCTGGGGATCAAAAACTTATGGCAGACTTGGTGGCATCTTGCTAAGACATTTCTTCTGCCCTGTACGTTGTGTGTGTGTGTGGTGTACATGTGAGTACAAGTGCATGCATGTTCACATGTATATCAGAAGTTGATGTCTTTTGGTCACTTTCTACCTAATTTTTTGGGAGCAGAACCTGGAGCTCATCAATTCAGCTAGGCTGACCAGCCAATGAGCTGTAAGGATCCACCTACTCAACTCCATCTCCATCCATAGGGTTACAGGTATGCATTGCTGTGCCTGGCTTTTAGATAAGTTAAGATCCAAACTCTTGTCTTTACCAATTAGCCATTTTCCCCAGCCTCTTGTTTTTGGGAATATCTTATGTGGAGGTCTGGCAGACCTGAAACTAACTAGGCCAGGCTGGCCTCAAACTTGCTGTGATTATGTTGTGTCTACTTCCCAGGTCTTGAAATTAGAAATGCTTGCCCATCATACTTCTATTAGTTTGTTCTATATTAGGTATTCTAGTTTTAAGTACCAGGCTAGGGATATAACTTAAAGAACACCTGCACAGCATGCTCAAAGGCTAGGGGTATATCTTAAGTTGTAGAATACCTGCACAGCATGTACAAGATTGAGTTTCAGACCCAGAACAATAAAACGAGATAGTGTCTCTGACTGTAATCTCAGCAGTCTCAGAGATGGGAGATTCAAGGTCAAGGTAGGCTACATAAGACCCTGCCTCAAGAAAACAAAATGAAAACTGGATAATTTTCAATATGGTAGATAAGTAGGGACATAATCAAAGTAGGCATAGCCACTGGGCTGTCTGGATAGAAAACAAGGTTCTTCAGGAACAGGAGGAATTCCTGATTTTGAGGCTGTGAACTTGACAGCATGTGAGAACTTTTGTGTACGTCAGGGAGGGGTAGTAAGTACAGTGTTTCCTAATCTGCCTAATGCTGCAACCCTTTAATAGTTCCCCATAGCTGGGTGGTGGTGGCATACACCTTTAATCCCAGCACTTGGGAGGCAGAGCCAGGTGGATCTCTGTGAGTTTGAGGCCAGCCTGGTCTACAAAGTGAGTTCCAGGAAAGGCACAAAACTACACTTCTCTGTCTCGAAAAAGGAAAAAGACCAAACCAAAAAAAGTTTCTCATGTTGTGACCCCCAAATCATTACATTATTTCATTGCTACTTAATAATTAACTTGGCTGCTGTTACGAACCATACTGCAAATACTTGTTTTTTTCTGATGGTCTTAGGCGACCCCTATGAAAGAGTTGTTTGACACTCAAAGGGGTTGAAACCCACAGGTTGAGAACTACTGGGATAGTAGAGCCCCCAGCTCCTAGGCTGTTAAGCTGAGTGAACAGGATGGGAAGGGGTTGTGAAGTTGTCTCCTGCCAAGGCATAATAGTCTAGTGAGCGGGTGCTCTGAAGTGCTTCCAGTAACTACACAGAAAAACCTGGGGAGAGGCAGTTTTCAGTCTGAACCACTTCTCAGAGGAAAAGAAGGCCTTTTCCCTAGAGATTTTGCTGTTCAGACCTTGTACATCTCTCTGGAGCTCATAGCTTACTCAAAAAATCTCTTGCCCCATTACAAAACCAGCATCCCATATGTTTCCTTTTTTTTTTTTTTTTTTTTTTTTGCTGCAGAATAAGCTTGTGATTTGGTACTCACAAGCCATAGAGAGGACACTGAAGCCTTGAACCTCGGAATGGTTGCTAATAATGGGAGACAGGATCTAAATTTTGAGAAACATTTTAAGGCTGGGGATATTGCTCAGTTGGCAGAGCCCTTTCCTAGCATGCATGCAGCCCTGGGTTTGTGTCCCAGCACCACGTTAACCAATGTGATGGTCCACACTTAAAATTTATTGTAGTTGGTGAAGGCAAGAGGAACAGAACAGAGCTTCAAGTTAAACTTGTGTTTCATAGAAAGTTCAAGGCTAGCTAGTTCAAGTCACAAGCTAGTGCAGTGTTTGGCAGCCAGAAAGCAACAGGAAGTACTTGAGAATTCTGCTACCTTGAAGCATACATAGGAAAAGCAGCTGAAGATAGGTGGGATCTGTCTGGTAGCTTCTCCCAGATGTGTGACTGGAAAGTGATCTACATCTCAAAGGTGTACTAGGCAAGAGCCAGTTTCACTCATAGAATTGTGTATAGCAGAGCTTCCTAAGTCTTGGCTTGTGAGACATGGCTCAACCTGTCACTGGAGACATACCTGTCTCCCTGTTTTGAGCAGGCCTTCACCAGAGCTGAAGAGTACTGCGAAGCGCCTCCAGGGGGCGCCACTGGGTTACGTTCTCCAGTTCTTTTGGTGCTTCTGAAGCTGCTGCCTCTCTGGCTCATACCTCTATTACAGTGACACAGAGGCACAGCCCAGGTCATTTTTGCCCCCTGGACATTTGCATGCCCTGTTTCCTCATTCAGGGTGATTGTGTAGCAAATTTTTCTCACTTTTTTACCTTTGAGGGCTCAATTCAGATACTTCTGGGCCCGATTCTGGACCACTAACATTAACTGCCCGTTTCCTGCTCTAAACACCCAGCATTCTACCCTACGCAAGAGGTGGGCTGCTACCAAGAGGTCCTTTGGGTTCTGACTTTTGCCATTTAACCAGTCTTAATGTTGTGACACTGGATACACTTGTGCCCCAGGACAACGGAAGTTCCCCCATGTGCTGGTCTGGGGGCTATACAAGATTTTACCAGGGCAGATGGGTTAATGGAGCCCTGATGAATAGGATGCAGTTTCAGAGCAGCTGAGCCACTGAGGAACATTCTAGATTGTGTCAGGACTGCGGGTTCTCTAGGCACAAAGTGAAGCGTCTAGTCTTTGGATGAAACATTGTATTATCTTCCATGGTGCCTTCATTTCTGTGGGTCTTGCTGGACTGGGTTGAACATTTGTGGCACACAGTCAATTAGGGTCTTGCTGGGAGTAGACTTCCAGATAAAAAGGTACAGGACCTAGACAACTCACCAGACACTTCCACACTCCTGTCCTTCCACACCCCTTTCCTACTACATCCACAGAGGGTTCACAAGACCACAAAAGGAGCAGCAAGACCAGTTTAATACAAAATAAGCTTGGGTCACCCTTCCCTATCACCAAAGACTTAGCAATATGAGCTAGAGAGGCCATCATGGAAGGGGAGGTCTCCAGAGAGCAGGAACACGAGACTGGCTGGCAAGACCTGCTTCCAAGTTTGTCCTGTGTTCAATTCAGCAGGTACCTGCAGAGCCTGTAGAGAGTTGGGTCAGTTTTTCAGTGACCTATTCCCTCTGCTACCCCATCAGTCTCCATCCCTGCATCTTCCAGGGGTCCAGCTCACCTGGAGTGATGAGTGGGGTGGCTTTCCCAGGTAAGGAACTACAGAAAGGAAACACTCAGATTAGCATCAAGGTCTTCTGTTGTCCTTACAAAGACGTGGCATGTATTTGAGCTTTTGAGACAAGGTCTCATTAGCTCAGGCTAGTCTTGAATTTGGTATGTAACCAAGAATGACCTTCACCTAATCTACTTTTACCAAGTTCTGGGATTATAGGTGTGCACTGCCATGCCCACGTGGGGACACACCTTAATACTCTTTTTCCATGGGTTTTTCCTGAATTGAGGTCATTGAGGGTTTATTATCTTCAAACAAATCCTACTTAAAGTCCAATGAATAGGCAGGCTGTCAATCATTTTGTAGGTCTTAGAACTTTTATTACCACATAGGTGTGCTCAGCCAAAGGTATATAAAACTGGGTCACTGTCTTACCTGGGCTTGCGACTGCGCCTACATTTGCACTTGCCACCTGGGAGAGGAAGAACATAATCAGCCAGCCTGAGTTTGAGCCTTCCTTTACCCACTCTGCCAATCCCTGTACTTACTCAGGGCCATGGCTATTCCAGCGATGCACAGGAGCCCTCCAAAGATCAATCCACCCAGTTGTAGGCTCTCCCAGTCTTGGGGGAGGAGGTGTGCAAAGAGGAGACAACAATATCTCACAGTACCCTCACACATTCATTTAAAAGGTATTTATGGGGTTGGTGTGGTTTTGTGGGAGGCCTTTACAAGCACTCGCTGGCCCTATAAGTGTTTGCCCACTTATATCCCATGCAGTGAAAAAGAGACCAGTAGGTACATCATGTAATAGTGTCTCATGGGGACAAGTGCCATGAGAGGCAAAGTGGAAGAACCTTGAGAGGAGGACAAGGTTCATTGAGCTCAGTCCCAGGTTTCCAACCCCAGCTCCATGCTCCAGGGCACCCTCTTTCCTCACTGCATTGAGCTCTCACAAAGAACAAGTTTGATGTCCCACCCCACTTTGTATTGAGTTATGTACTACCCTCCTCAGCTGACCTGGCAAAGAGGTCCAAAGTAGACAAGGATTGAATGGGATGGGCGGGTAGGGGTGGGGGTTGGCACCAGCTCTTACCATAATAGAAGGGACTGCCTTTATCTACAGTAAATGAAAAATAATAAATAAATGAACGCCAGGATTAGGAGACAGGATATGGGGTCTTAGAGGGGAAATGCAGGCATGTGGCAGATATTTGCCAGGGTGCAGTGGTGGTTACTCACCAGTTGGTTCATTGGCTTCCAAGGCAGGCAGAGCTGGGTGGGAGAAGTGGAAGGAGCGGCTGTTTGTCTGTCACTCTGGTGTCTAAAATGACAGCTATCTAGAGGGGTCTGGGAAGTGACTCTGGGCCTGTCAGGTGCCTTCCTCATATCTTCAGTCCCAAGCAGGCCTTGGCTTTTGCAACTCATACTGAAGCCCATGTCTTCCCATTCACAGCCCTTCCTATTTCTTGCCCCACTGTTCCTTCTTGTGCTCTGAACAGGATGCTAGGTTCATTTTTAACCTTGCCCTAGAAGCTTTGGATAGAGCCAGAGGTTTGGATAGAACCTTTGCCTCTTGATGAAACAGCACACCTTAATGTGCATTGTCCATTTTCCACAGTCCACTGTCTCAATAGCCATTAAGCAGTTTTTCTCAGTGTCCTCATTCCACCTGTACAAATGTTTCATGCCGCTGACATTTTAAGTGTAAACACATTTATTGGCAGCAGTCATCCTCTGGGGAGAGGCTGTCTGGTCTCCAATGCCTTGGGTGGAGTGATGGAGAACTCACCTGCTAGCACCAGGAGAAAGGCACAGGTTGCTCCCTTCATGTCAGGACACAGGGCAAGGCTGCAGGCTGCAGGCGAGATGCAGAGTAGAGGTAGGTGGGATTGGCTCTGGTCTGCTCCGACCTGACCTGCCACAGGTCACTCCATCAGTAAGAGCAGAACTCGTGTGAGAATTAAGAGGCAAGCACTTACGAAAATGACTGCTTTCTACTCTCACATCTATGGAGGGCACAAGTGACAGCCTTGGTGTGTGGACTGGTTAATTCTAGTGAAGTGTTCAAAACTGAACACCGTGCAGTGACCACAGAGGGCTTTGTGAAGAGCTTTACAAAGATACTGTCATCTGTGTCGTAAGAGATGGCAACAGAAGGGGATTCAGGAAGATAAAACCACTGAAGTCAAATGGCTGTCCTAAGTCAGCAGGAGCGAGGCTTTCCTAACCATGTGTCCAGGCCCTGGCTATTCTGTTTGAAAAGATCTGGGCCTTGGGTAGCCAGGCTGAATTAATAGATTGTCTAAAACTTTAGCACCAGGCCGGGCGGTGGTGGCGCACGCCTTTAATCCCAGCACTCGGGAGGCAGAGCCAGGCGGATCTCTGAGTTCGAGGCCAGCCTGGGCTACCAAGTGAGTTCCAGGAAAAGGCACAAAGCTACACAGAGAAACCCTATCTCGAAAAACCAAAAAAAAAAAAAAAAACAAAACAAAACAAAACAATGCCGGGCGGTGGTGGTGCACGCCTTTAATCCCAGCACTTGGGAGGCAGAGGCAGGCGGATCTCTGTGAGTTCGAGGCCAGCCTGGTCTACACCGCGAGATCCAGGAAAGGCGCAAAGCTACACAGAGAAACCCTGTCTCGAAAAAACAAAAAAACAAAAAAACAAAAAAACAAAAAAACCAACAACAACAAAAAAAAACCCAAAAAAAAACCCCAAAACTTTAGCACCAGGGCTGGAAGGCACATTTCCAGGCCTGCTCTCTTGGAGCCAGGGACTCTGTTCCAGGCAGCCCCAGATTGCACTCAGAGCATAAGCACCTGCTAGAAATGCCTGCTGGCGTGTGAAACATAGGTTCTTTCTCCTATGAGTAGGTCCTGCCCAGAGCCCCATTTACACGTTGTATGTGACATACCTTGTAGAGCTGAATTTTAGAGAAAAATCCTCATCCCCTTCTATGTGATGGTAGCTATAGGCTAGTGTTCAGTTCTGAAGCCACTATTACTATCTCCTATACCTAGCTCTGGCCTAATGAAATCACAGAAAATACAGATCCAACATCAACTGGCTGGGCCCAGTCCCCTCTCATCCACTTGCCAGCCATGTGATTTAGTAGGTATCATATATGTGTTTTCAGTGTCTATAAATAATAGCAACCTTGTAAATTATGCAGATGAATTTAAGTGAGCTATGTCAGTTCTAAAAAAAATACACCCAGCACCAAAAACCTGCTACAATATATGCAAACCACAAGGACCTTTTGCCCTAAGATGGAAAACTCAGGGACATGAGAGTTTATGCTCCAGCCAGTTTCTGAAGCTGGTTTTCTCCCTTTCGTCAGTTTCTCCTATCCCTTCCCTCAACCCACAGCTCCTGGATTATGTCTCATTTCCATTTCATACGTACTTCTGCTAAAGGTTGGCTCTTACTTCTTCTAACCCTGAATCCTCTGCTACACAGTCACAAAGTCAGAAGTCTCCAGGCCCCGGACGGCCATCTCTGTCCTCACAACCCCCAAACAATTGCTTACTTCTCAGTCCTGGGATCAGCATCCACCACCTTCTTCAATGATCTCTTGGCCACCCCCTTCCAAGTCCTAGCAAATATCTACTCACCCTGAAGCTCATCCAAGCTAGGTTATTGGTACGGGGTGCAGAGAGCAAGTCTGAGGACAGCCTGGATGGGTTCTGCTCTTTAAACCAAGGGGCTCCGCCCTGGGCCACACACCAGCAGTCTGGAGGGAACTAGTCCTACCTCTTAGGCTCCTGTAGCCAGCCCTCCCCACCTGCTCTTAAGGACACAGCTCGCTTACCACACCCAGGGTAGAGCCAGTGCTGGGTCCCAGGCGACTTAGAGCTAAGGAATGAGAGAAGGGAGAACTGTGGGTACTGGGCTTCAGTCCCTGCCCCAGAGGAAAGGGGCTTCCTTAGTCTTTCTAGGTCTTAAAGGAAAGTCCCAGGGTTGAAAAGATGGCCCAGCAGGTAAAGGTGCTTGTTACTAGGTCTGAAAACCTGAGTTTGAGCCCCCAAACCCACAGGGTTTCAAGAAAGCTGGCTCAGATTGTCTGTGAACATGCACATACACACACACACCACACACACACACACACACCACTAAATTTTTTACAAAATCATTTATCAAGATAAATATTAATTGGGCTGGAGATGTCATTAAGTGGCAGAGTACTTGCCTAGCAAAAAAGGCCCCGGGGGTTAGGGTTCTGGCTTCTTGTGCCAACAGTGGGGGTTCAGGGCTGTGTGGAGTGTCTTGGGGACAGTAATGTAGATAATAGAGACTGGCAGCTTTATTACTTCTATTTGGACCTGGTGTTCATGGAGAGGGCTGGGTCTGATGGGGACCCACTGGTTCACTTACCCTCTATCTAGACCAACACCTTGTGACTCAGGAACCCTATTTCAGGTTTCTCATTTCAGGAACGAGAAACTTCCCCAGCCAAGCTGAACTGCCTGCCTCTCAAAAGAGGGAGTGTACATGCCAGGCAGAGGTTAGCCTGCTTTGTCCACTGCTGGCCAGACTCATCCTACCATGTGCCTTTGGATGATACTAGGCCTCTCTGCTCTTTTCCAAGTGAGGGAGACTTGTCCCTTTCTAGGAGGTCATTGAACAAGAGTTGAGGGTGTCTCTCTTGGGTAGGTGGAGGAGGGTTACTAAGGGTTAACAGTTATTTTCTTTTTAATTTTGTTAGTGTGGGTGTTCTGCCTGCAGGCATATCTGTACCGTATGAGTGCCCAGTGCCCACAGAAGCCAGAAGAGAGTGTCAGATCCCCTGGAACTTGAGTTACAGACAGTTATGAGCAGGCATGTGGGTGCTGGGAATCAAACCCAGGTCCTTCAGAAGAGCAGCCAGTGCTCTTAACTTCTGAGCCATCTCTAGTCACCCTTCCCCAAGTCCTTTTTTTTTTTTAATGCAACACTTCACAAATTTACATTTCATTCTTGTTTAGGGCTGTGCTAATCTCTTTTTGTTTTCAATTTTAGTATATGTGCTGCTGATGCAAGCACAAAAATATTTATGTATATTTGTGTGTGTATTCAATGTATGCATATGTGTGCATGTACCTGTGCAGATTGATGTCTGGTGCCTACTATTGCTTTTTGTGGTGGTTTGAATAGGAATGACCCCCATAGACTCATGTGTTTGAATGGTTGGCCCATAGGGAGTGGCTTTTTTTGAGGAAGTATGTCACTGTGGGGGTGGGCTTTGAGGTCTCACATGCTCAAGCTATGCCCAGTGTGGTACAGTCTTCTGCTGCTGCCTTCAGATCAAGATGTAGAACTCTCAGTTCCTTCTCTAGCACCATGTCTGCCTGTACGCCACCATGTTTCCTGCCATGATGATAATGGACTAAACCTCTGAAACTCTAAGTCCCCTCAATTAAATGTTTTCTTTATAAGAGTTGCTGTGGTCATGGTGTCTCTGCACAGCAATAGAAACCCTAACTAAGACACTTTATCTTATTCATTTTTTTTTAGAATGCCGTTTATTCTTTGACAATTTCTTACGTGCATACAATGTATCTTGATCATATTCAACCAAACCCTACCCTCACACTCCTCTTCTTCCTCATCCTCTTCCTCCTCTTCTCTCTTGAGTTAGTACTGTTTGCTGATTTTGTTGGCTTGATCTTGTGCAGGTAAACAGTGAGTTCATGAGAGCAGTGGCCATGTCATGTCCAAAGGACCGCATTTCACAGTGCTTCCTCTTCCAGTTCTTACGTTCCTTTTCCTCCTCTACCTCAGTGTTCCCTAAACCTTGTGGTTGCTAATACAGAGGTCTCATTAAAGGCTGAGCACTCCGCTAGGTGTGGTGGCACACACCTTTTATCCCAGCACTCAGGAGGCAGAGGCAGGCAGATCTCTGTACATTTGAGGCCAGCCTGGTCTACATAGAGAGTTCCAGGACAGCCAGGGCTACATAGTGAGATCCTGTCTCAAAAGCCCAAACCAAACCAAACCAACCAAATAAATTAATAAAAAATAAAAAAGACTGACCACTCAGCATCACTTAGTCTCTGCACTTTGACCAGTTATTAGTCTCTGCATTAACTGTTGACTGTTGCAGAAAGAAGCTTCTCTGGCCAGGTTGAGGGAAGTAGTGATCTGCGGGTATACACATAAATATTTAGAATGTGGCCGGAGGCACACTCGGGAGGCAGAGCCAGGCGGATCTCCGTGAGTTCAAGGCCAGCCTGGTCTGCAGAGGGAGATCCAGGACAGGCACCAGAACTCCACAGAGAAATCCTGTCAAGAATGTGGCTTGACAAACATATCCATTTAAGAAAAACAACAATAGTAAGTTCCTCCCAGAGGCTGTGATTTCCTGAGCCAGGGTTTTTGACCAGATTCACCACACCAGGCCTGAATTCCTCCCTGGAGAGCAGGCCTTCAATCCAATCCAAAAGCAGTTGGTTACCGTATGAACTTCATACTACTATGGCACCAGTGGGCATATCGTGGCAGGTTGGCTTACAACATGCAGTGTTAGCTGCAGGGATGCCTCGGATGGCTTTTTCTCCCAGCAGCCTGCATAGCACCCTCTGGCACTATGAAAGCTAGTCAGTAGAAGGAAGATTTTAGGTCAGGTCCAGCTGATTTCTTTTCCTGTAAACAAAGTGTGTTGTGTCCTCAGCAATAGATTCTTGCCACCTACTTCTGGACAGCCAAGAACAATGGCAATATAGACCAGGCTGGCCTTAAACTCACAGAACACCACACCCAGCTCTGCCTGTTTTCTTATAGCTTCCAGAACCACCTTGTCCAGGAATGACATCATCCCCTGTGAGCTGGGCCCTCCCACATTGACTATTAATCAGAAAACGCCTTGCAGATTTGTCTAGAGGTCAATCTTATGGAGGCAGATTTCTCTCTTTCTAGACATGGTGTGGTGATATTGTTGTACTCTCATAAAATTTGCCTGAAGATCAGAGGACAGAGCCAGTCACTAGATTAAACAGAGGCCAGGCAGTGGTGGCACACACCTTTAATCCTAGCACTCAGGAGGCAGAGCTCCATCTGGATCTCTTTGTTCAAAGCTACCCTGGACTACATGAGATTGATTCAGTCTAGGAGAGAAAACAAGAACCAGGCAGTGGTGGCACACACCTTTAACCCCAATATGTGGGAAGCACACACACCATTAATCCCAGCACTAGGAAGGTTAAGATAGGAAGTGAAATGGCTGGGCAGAGAAAGACATATAAGGTGTGAGGAGACAGGAACTAGAGACCTTTTTGGCTGAAGACTCAGAGGCATTCAGTCTGAGGATTCATGGAGATCGGTTGAGGACTTGGTGAGGTGAGACGTGGCTGTGCTTTTTCCTTTGTCTCTCTGATCTTTCAGCATTTACCCCAATATCTGGTTCCGGGTTTTTATTATAAGACCACTTAGGATTCGAGCAACAACATGGAGCCATTTTTTCAGTGAAGATTCTCTTTCCAGATATGTCTAGGTTCGTGTCGAGGTGACAAAAACCCAATCAGCACACTTTTTGTTAAACCAATTAGTAAAATATTTTCTAGTTTCATCCATTTCCCTGGAAGTTTCATTTTTCCTTAAATAAAATTCCACTGTGTATGTGTGTGTGTGTATATATATATATATATATATATACACACACACACACACACACATACATATATGTCCCTTGTTTTCATTATCCATTCATCAGTTGATAACCTAGGCTGGTTCTATTTCCTAGGTATTGTGAATAGACCAGTGATAAACACAGATGTGCAGATTTCTCTGTAAATGTGGGGTCTTTTGGGTATATTCTAAGGAATGGTATAACCAAACATGGTAGGTTTATTGTTACCATATATACATATATGTGTGTGTGTTATATAGTAAAAAATATATATATATATATATACATACACATATATGGAGATATATACATATATACACACATTTATATACACACATTTACACACACACACACACACACACACACACACACATATATATATGGAGGTTAGAAGACAACTTTTAAAAATTTTATGTGCATTGGTGTTTTGCTTGCTTGTATGCCTGTGTGAGGGTCTTGAATCCCCTGGAACTGGAGTTACAGACAGTTGTGAGCTGCCATGTGGGTGCTGGGAATTGAATCTGGATCCTTTGGAAGAGCAGTCAGTGCTCTTAACCACTGAGACATCTCTTCAGCTCCTAATTTTAGCTCCACACTGACTTCCATAGTGACTGCACTGACATCCACCCTCATCAGCAGTGAATAACATTTCTTCTTTCCCCATATCCTTGCCAGTATTTGTTGTCATTTGTTTTGAAGATTTATTTATTTTAATATTATTTAATATTATGTACAACAGTGTTTACTTTGGTCTCAGTAACTGTTGGAAGATCAACAACTAAGGACAGTACAGAGTTGCCTCAGAGGTTAGTTACTATCAGGAGTGGGAGGAGGTGGGGCAGGTGTCTTAGTGAAAGTTCCTATTGCTGTGATAAATACACCAAGACCAAAATCAAATTGGTGAGGAAAGGTTCATTTCAGCTTGCAGTTCTACATCACAGTCCATTGTTGAAGGAACTCCAGCAGGGCCTAAACCTGGAGGTAGAAATTGAAGCAGAAGCTATGGAGGAATGCTGTTTACTGGCCTGCTGAATTGCTCTCTTACACACCTCAGGACTACTTGTCCAGGGTGGCACTGTGCAGTGGGTTGGGCCCTTTCACACCAATAACTAATCAAGAAGTTGTTGCCACAGACTTGTCTACAGCCCAATCTAATGAGGCATTTTTTCAGTTGAAGCTTCCTCTTCTCATATGGCCCTGACTTGTGCCAAGTTGACCACAGACTAACTAGGGCAGTAGTTAAGAAGAAGGGTTAAGAACTGGATTGACTTTAAAAATGTACAAAAGGGTGGGTAAAGTAGTGAGGATGGGAAAATGGGTCCTGCTGAGATTCATAGGCTTTTGAGCTTTTTAAAGCCGTGGGAGGTTATAGCTAGTTAGTAAAAAGAGGAGGGGATAAGGGTGAGAAAAGGAAGAAATGGCACAGGAAGAAGAGGGCAGCATCTGAGAGGTGCCTGGTGAGCAGAGTCTGGAAGGAATCCTTACAGCAAACTGGCTGTGAGACACACACGACAGCCCTAAGACTTAACTGAGCAACATACAAACAAAGGCAATGCCCCGAGAGACATACATGCAGGCTGAGATTATAATCGAACAGAAAATAAGAAAAAGAATACTTATTGAGTGAATTACTGGCACATTTGCGCTGAGTTGAAAGGTGAAATTCTCAGTTCTCTGGTTCTAGGAGGCTCCATATGGTGCTGTTCTTGGAGGTTCTGGCATGTTGGGAGAAGTTGTAAGTCCTTTCCTGGTGGTTCTCTTGAACCCCTTTGTTGTTTTTAACTAAGTATCATTCTATTTTATCAGAGCCAGATGCTGGGTGAAAACCTGCTAGCTTAGGCAGAGAAAGCACCCAGCTGCTTCCTCTTCTGCTGACGTCCCAGAAAGAGAGCTTTCTCCTACACTGTCTCAAACAAAAACGCCTTTGACCGGATGTCCCGCCCTTCTATTTCCTGTGCATCTCTCTCCCCGCCCTCCTGACTTCCTCTTAGTTGCTACGGTTTTTTTCTATCAGCTGGTTGCTTGCTCTTGACCCATGGTTGATTTTTATTTAATCTTGTTTACAGTATTCAAGCAGAAAGGTCTTGGATTAAAGGTGTGTGCTATGGCTGAACCACATTGCAGCTAGAAGCAGGTTTTTCTGGTAAATAATTCGGGGTTCACAGTGTAATCAAATATCCCGCAACATGCCTTCACTTCACCAGGGCCTCTTCAATCCTACAATTCTGGTGTATATCTACTGTACTGTGTATGTATGTGTATGTGCCTGATGTGTGTATGGAGGTCAGAGGACAATTTCTGGGACCAAGTTTTCTCCTTCCGCCTTTATGTGGTTCCAGGCATGAAACCCAAGTTGCCAGACTTGCACAGCAGGACCGTCAACTACTGAGCCATTCTGGTTTTGTTTTTCTTTGAGACATGGTATCTCTCTGTAGCCCTGATTGGCTCTGAACTCACAGAGATCTACCTGCTGCTGCCTACCAAATTCGAGGACTAAAGGTGTGTGCCATCATGCCTCACAACCATCTTGTTTTTTGAGGCAAGGAGTCTACCAGTTGGGCTACATTGGCTGTCTAGTAAGTCCCACTGATCCTCTGGTCTCCACCTTCCCAATATTAGTACTAAAGATTACAGGTGGAAACTGCTACACCAGGCTTTTTTACATGGGTGTTGGGGATTACAAATCAGGTCCTAACACATGAATAACAAACACTTTACCAACTGAGCCATCTCCTCAGCCCCAGCACTTCTTTTTCATATGACTTTCTTCATCATCATCATCATCTGTGTGTGTGTAACCTGTGGAGGTCAGAGGACAATTTTGTAGAGTTCTCTCCATCCCATTACATGAGTTCCAGGAATCAAACTCGGTTTGTCAGGCTTGTCCAGCAAGTGCCTTGACCCACATTACCAGTTACTTTTCTGTTGCTGTGATGAAGTATCATGACAAGGCAGTTTGGGTCTACAGTTTCAGAGCGGTTAGCCTCCGTCACCCCATCAACACACGGTGACAGAACAGCTGAGCATTCACATCTGAACAGAGAGAGCCAACCTGAAATAACACAAAGCCCACCTCAAAATGACATTTTTCCTCCAACAAGGGCACACCTCCTCAGCTTCCCCTAACAGTACCACCAACTAGGGTCAAGTATTCAAATAGCTGAGACTGTGGGGGACATCTGTTATTCAAGCCACGACACCCACTGAACGATCTCAAGTTTGCTATATAGAAGATGATCTCAAACTCCAGACCTCCTGCGTTCACCTCCATAGACTTGTGCCATTGCTCCCAGCTTTAAAAATCCCTTTCAAAAAAAGAAGTCCCTTTCAAGGTCACATTGTCCTCTAGCAGCCAAGTAGGGCCTCAGCCCCAAATTCCTTCTCAGATGAGGTCTGTTGGGATTCCTGGCCACTCCTCCATTTACATGACCGAACATGAGCAGTTCAGTAGCCAAGTAAGGGGCCTTATGTCCTACTTAATCCGTATGCTTCGTGATCTTGTAATTTGCATGCAGCATGATCACACATGCGTGGCGTAGCTCCATAAGCCTATATGCGCATATGCAGGGGAATCCTTAAAAAGCCGGTCACAGACTCCTCCCCTCTCTCTGCTCTCTTCTACTCCTCCATCTCTCCCTCCTCCTCACGTGTCTTTCCAACAGATCACATTCTATCCTATTTCTCCTTCCTCCTGATAAAACTCTGATAGTGAGTTTTGTCATGCCTCATGCACGGTAACAGCACCGCTCAATGAATAACCCAGCGCCGCCACCACATTAAAACCAACAAGGTCTACTCATGAGCACAGACAGCGGAGTAGTTATCTGCAGGTAGGAACACTTTGGTTAGAAGGAGTTTAGGAAGACACCTGGGATCTACACCAACAAAAGGCTCTAGCGTTGACCACCAAATGCACAGCTTCCTCCCTCTTCAAGGACCAGTCTCATGTCTACTGCCAGAATCTTTAATAAATAGAAAACCCTGAGACCAGTGTGGGCTGCATGAAAACAAAACAAAAACGGGAGTGGGGGACCTTTCTTCTCTGAATAGTTTCCCTTTGAGGTTGCTCTTTCAGCCACTTATACCAGGCTGTGGAGCTGCTATGTGTGTTAGGGCCAGCTACAGTAGCAGCTCTGCAGACAGAGCCCTCTGTGTGGGCCGTCTGCTAGTACAAAGCAGCCCAATCGCCTTAGCTCGTAGGCCAGGCTGGCTGGCTAGTAAGCCCAGAGATCATGTTTTTACCCCCACCCATGGTGCTGGAATCATGAGCATACACCACTATGACACATCAGGCGTTTTTAAGTGGATGCTGGGGATCAGCTCAGTTCCTTATACTCGCACAAGCACTTTACCCCGGAACCATCTCCCCAACCCCTGATTTGTATTTGATGAAGATTGTTGGGCAATGTTAAGAGTGAAAATGAAGGCATTTGGGAAAAGAGAAACCCTGAAAGAATCCACAGAACTGCCATAGACATTCAAATGGAGTCCTTTGACTTCCCTTCTCAAGAGACAACTCTGCAGTGTTTTCTTCCTGCCCCCCCCCCCCCCCCCCCCCCCCCGCCCTGCCCCTCCAGGCAGTGTCTGTCTATTACACACATTCATCACATGACTTCTCAGCTCTGAGTACTTCTTTCATTTCCTACCAGCACTTCACCATTTACAACAGCTAAAATAAACATTTCTCAGAGTAAACGTTTGGTTTTCCCCTTAAAGCTACTCTGTTACCCCTACACAATAGCAAAATGGAAAATCTCAGCACCATCCTAGATCTTCACTGCTCCTGAATCTCTGAATCTATTCATTAAACATTTCTTTTTTGAGATAGGGTCTCACTATGTGTGGTAGTTTGAATGTAATTAGTCCCCATAAACTCAAAGGGAGTGGCATTATTAGGAGGTGTGGCTGTTGGATTAGGCGTGACCTTGGAGGAAGTGTGTCACTGTGAGGGTGCACTTCAAGGTCTCATACATGCTCAAGCCATGCCCAGTGTCTCAGACCACTTCCTGTTGCCTGTGGGATCAAGGTGTAGCTCCTTCTGTACTCTTGGCTCCTTTCTTCAACATGTCTGCTTGCATGCTGCCATGTCCTGCCATGACGATAATGGACTAAACCTCTGCAACTATAAGCCATCCAATTAAATGTTTTTCTTTTTAAGAGTTGCCATGGTCCCTGACTGGTCTCAAACTCACAAAGGTTGGTCTGCTGTTGCCTCACAAATGCTGGGATTAAAGACGTGTGCCACCATCCATCTCATTCAACAGTTCCTGACTTTCTTGCTTCCTTAATCTTCGAATTATCCCCTTTTTCCTCTGCTAGTCTCATAAAGCACACTGATTCTGAGATCTTATGCTTCTGTCTTTGCTCAGCTCTTTCCTGCCTGTCCTCACCAAGCCTCAACAACTCCAGAATCCTTTGAGAACTTCAGACTTTCTCTTTTTGAATGTGGGGCTAGTTTTTTGTTTTGTTTTGTTTTGTTGTTTTTTGCGTATTCTATGTATATAGATGTTTGCCCACATGCATATGTACTACATGCATGCAGTGCCTGTGGAACCTAGAAGAGGGTGTCAGATCCCCTGGAACTGTAGTGACAGACAATTGTGAATTGCCTGGTGCGTGCTATGTCTGGAGCGCAGGCCTTCTCAATAGCAGACAGTACTCCTAATTGCTGAGCCATTTCCCCAGGTGGGACTAGTCTTGAGTGTCAGTGATCCTCCTGCTTCAGCTGCCCTGGTGTTGAAATTACAGCCACATGTCATATAACCCAGCCTTGAGACCTTTCTTTATGTGGTTTTGTGTGTGTGTGTGTGTGTGTGTGTCCGTCCCTGTCCTTCCACCCACCCATACACTTACATTTGGAGTACAAAGGACATGAGGGTATCTGCTCCCTTACTTTCTGGATTATTTCCTTGATGCAGGGTCTCTCACTGCATCTGGAGCACAGAGGTTTTGTCTAGGCTGGCTGGCTTGCAAGCCCCAGCAGTCCTCCTGTTTCTATCCCGCCCCCCAAATAATTGAGGTTGGCAAGCTCAGGGAACAACACAAACCTCTCTTAATATTGCACTTGGCAGTGCAAGACCCTTACCTGCATGTACTATGAACACACAGTCCTCTCTAGACATTATACCTCCCAACCTGCTATCGACCTAGGACCTCCCACCTGCACCAAGCTGCATTCACACCCCACCCCACCAAAATGGAATAACAACCATCAAACTTAGATTCTACTCAGTCACACAAAGGTAGGAGAGATGATCTGGCTCGAAGTAATTTGGGGTGCATGTGCAATTAGGCAAACTATTCCCTTGAGTAAATTTTTAGGGGAAAAATCATGTATTTACCATCTTCTGTATATACATAATTGGTCATGCATATGATTAAAATCAGATGCATTATGGGAAGGGACATGTTTAATAGAGAAATGGTTATGTAATTTAATCTGTCAGTCAAAATAGAGAACCATTCGAACTACACTTTGATTAACTAAACTCTTTTTCTTGAGCCCTGTAAAAAGAAGCCTTAAGTGCCGGGCGGTGGTGGCGCACGCCTGTAATCCCAGCACTCGGGAGGCAGAGGCAGGTGGATTTCTGTGAGTTCAAGGCCAGCCTGGTGTACAGAGCTAGTCCAGGACAGGCTCCAAAGCTACAGAGAAACCCTGTCTCGAAAAAAAACAAAACAAAACAAAAAAAAAAGGAAGCCTTAAACACTAACCAGTCACCCTGACTTGTATTGCTTGTATTGTCATCTGTCACCCTTGACAGTATATCTGAATGCCCTATTGCTTTGCTATGAATAAATGATTTTTACTATTTTGGAATCTGTGTGAGCCTTTATTTCAATCCTTTGAATCAGAGACCAGGAACATGGAAATACCCAGGCCTAGATCCCAACCACTGGTAACACTGGCACCAGGGGTTACATCTGTTCATTCATGCCCAGATATTTCACTTGGTTGCTGGAGATTCAAATTCAGGTCTCATGTTTGTATAGCAGGTGCTCTTACCCACTGAGTCATTTCCCCAGCCTTCTACCTATGTGCATTGCTATAGAATAATTTCCAAAAATGTATTCTTTTTTTTTAAATGACAAAGTCTCAAGTGTTCCAGGCTGTCTGTAATTCCATATGTTACTGGGGATGACCTTGAACCTTGGATATTTCTTACCCACCCGAGTACCGGGATTACAGACTGAGCATCACCATACCTGGTCTATGTGACACAGGAAATTGGATCCAGGATTCTTTCATTTGTAGCAACTGAACTATATTTCCAGCTTAGCCCTTTTAATCCTAGCTTTCAGGAGGCAGAGGCAGGTGGATCTCTTGAGTTTGAGGCTAGCCTGGGCTACAGGAATGAGTTCCAGAACAGCCAGGGCTATGTAGAGAAACCTTGTCTCAAAAAACCCACCCCCACAAAAAAAAAGGAAAAGAATTTTTTTTGGGGGGGAGTGACAAGTGCTATTTCCTGTGGGCACTTCCTGCTACCAATATCTATTCCAAAATGGTCTTTGGGTATTTGCTCTTTTTTGAAAAGCGATACCATTCTGCCTAATTTTATGTTGCTATTTAAAGTTTTTGTGCAGTTTGTTTGAAACAGGGTCTCATGTAGCTCAGGCTGGCTTCAACTGTTTAACCTAGGATGACTTTGAACTCTTTTTTCCCCCCAAGACAGGGTTTCTTTGTGTAGCCCTGGCTGTCCTGGACCTCACTTTGTAGACCAGGCTGGCCTTGAACTCACAGAGACTGTCTGTCTCTGCCTCCTGAGTGCTGGGATTAAAGGCATGTACCACCACAGTCCAGCCTGACTTTGAACTCCTAATCTGCTTGTCTCCACCTCCCAAGTGTTGAGATTACAAGTGTGTACCAATACATTTGACTTTGCTATTTAAAGCTTTTACTAAGCTTAAATAGCTGCAAAAGATTAATTACACATTTTAAAAACTCTGAATGTTCATACGATTTTGTGCTATATAATCCATTTCAAGTTTACAGAAACATTAATTTATTTCATGATTTTTTGGGTCTCAGACTATACATATATATTTTTACATGCAGAAAACACACACACACACACACACACACACACTTTTGGGGGGGATTTCTCACACTGTAGCCCAGGTTATCCTGGAATTCACTGTGTAGCACAGACTGGCACTGAACTCATAGAAATCTTGCTGCAGCCTCCTGAGTGCTGGTATTATAGGCCTATTCCATGTCCAACATTTTTCTTTTTTTTTTAAAATATAATATTTATCTTTATTTTATGTGTATAGGTGTACTACTGGAATTACAGTCACTTGTGAGCCGCCATGTGGGTCCTGGGAACTGAGCTCAGGTCCTCTGCAAAAGTAACAAGTGCTCTTAACCACTGAGCCATCTCTTTAGCCCCCTGATTTACTTTTCTTCCTCCCCTCCCCCCCACAGAGACTTAACTGTGTATTCCATTTCTCCATTTTCCTACTTAGGCTGAGTGTGGGAAGGCAGAAGTTTATTGCCATGCCCAGTGTAGTGGTTTGAAAGAAAATGGCCCCCAAAGAGAGTGGCACTATTAGGAGGTGTGGCCTCTTGTTGGAGTAGGTGTGGTCTTGTTGAAGGAAGTGTGTCACTGTGGAGGTGGGCTTTGAGGTCTCATATATGCTCAAGCCATGCCCAGTGAGACAGACTATTTCCTGTTGCCTGTGAGTCAAGGTGTAGGACTCGGCTCCTTCTCCAGCACCATGTCTGCCTGCATGCCACCATGTCACACACATGACATGATAATAGACTAAACCTCCGAAAATGTAAGTTACCCAATTAAATGTTTTTTCTTTATAAGAATTGCCGTGGACATAGTGCCTCTTTACAGCAATAGAAACCCTGACTAAGACAACCAGTTACTTCATTTTGTTATTCTTGAAGGTCTTTTGTCAGCTACCACTCCTACCACTCCTAATTTCTCTCTTTCTTTTTTTTGTTTTGTTTTGTTTTTTTCGAGACAGGGTTTCTCTGTGTAGCTTTGGAGTCTGTCCTGGATCTTACTTTGTAGGCCAGACTGACCTCGAACTCACAGAGATTCGCCTGGCTCTGCCTCCCGAGTGCTGGGATTAAAGGCTTGCGCTGCCACCACCGCCCAGCACCACTCCTAATTTCTGTCCTGTCTGTTTGTCTGTCTCTGTCTCTCTTTCTCTCTTGGAAGACAATGTCTCTATATGTGGCCTAGGCTGCCCTGGAACTGGATATGTAGTCCAGGATGACCTAGAACTCACAGAGATCTACCTGTCTCTCGCGTTCTGGGATTAAAGGCATGTGCCACCACGCCTGTTACCACTCATAATTTATCACAGTATTTGTGTGTCTCTTTAGCACAGAACATATTCTCATGTTTATCAAGTACTTGCTGTCTGTTGGCTATTTCCCCCCACTTTATTAGTTAACACACTTCCACGTGTTAACCAATATAATAATTGTTATAGCTGTTACTAGAATTTAGGGCTGTCCACCTCTCAAAGGCCAACATCTGAGAGATGAGAGTTATGAGGGAGGAAATGGATTTC